CCCATTGTGTTTGTTTGTAATTAAGCACAAAGCTACACAATGGGCTATCTGTGCTCTGCCCACCACGAGTATCGAAACCCGGATTCTAGTGTTGTAAGTCCGCAGACGAACCGCTGTGCCACTGGGGGAGGGGGCAGCCCATTGTGTAGTTTTGTGCTTAACTTCAAACAAACTTTAAGTAACCAGAAACCAATTCAACTAACATACAAGCTTCGAAACCAATTACAATTATCAAGACATTCACCATAATATCCAATATACATTATCTTTTTATAAATGAAGGTCAAAGTTCGTTGTCGAAAACTGTGAACTTCGCGGGGTTACTCAATATAAGAAACATATTTATTTCTATATGTAACGTATTTTTTTACACATATGAGCTGTTATTTTAAAGTTTAGAATCTCGGGTTTCAGAAATGCCGTGTGGTGGTGATCGCAACCCTAAAAACTTGCTAAAACACTGATGTCAAGGCAACACAGTTGGTAAATTTTCGGGTTTCTGTGAAACGCATAATATTCAATGTTTCTTATACTAATACAGCTGTAAAGTGTCTAAATATACATAATTTGGTATGCTTCATCTATTGTTGACATTAATTTCACAGTCAAAGGTCAAGGTCATTGACGAAAAAAAAGTGTAAATCGCAGGGATTTCTTAAATAACAACAAAATTGAACTGATTTAATTTAAATAGTTGTTAAAAAAGATAAATGTTTTAAAGAAAGAAACATCTCGCCCCTTTAATTCAGGACAAACATGGTAGATTTGCGTTGTTTTAATTCTATCACGATGCAATGTCGTGAATTGTCATGGTAAGTTGGATCAGTGGTTCAAACGTTCTGTGTATAAGTGATAAATACTTCTAGAGGCTCACACTTCTCAACCAGTCATCAAAGTTTTATTGTGTTTCAGTGTCATTTATCCCTATCTATCAACCCTGAGTCTACGAACGTGCAGCGCTTTCGTGAGACAGACTTCATTATTTGTTCTCCCTTATCTTAAATGTTATGTTGACTACAGATGAAATTGTCATATCTAGTAAGTAGGGATGGACGAGTACCCGGCCAGATATTCTGCCCCGGCCGGGTATTGGACTACTCGGTAATACTCGGCTCCGACCGAGTGTCGAAGTTAAAAACAGCTGAATCCGGGTAATTGAAAATGGCATCTAAGCCCTAATCTTTGTGGCAACTAACGCGGTACTGAAAGTAACAGTCAATAATTGGTTTAGTTTAAAAAAAAACAACAAAAAAAAAAAACGTGTTCTGAACAACAAAGACTGATCGCCCCCCCTGACATTTGGGGATTCAGAGAACAATAAAGGTTAATAAGAGGCATGGCTTGAGAAGTAGATTTCTTGGGAAAGTGGGGTTTTGAGAACAATAGGGATTAGGGTTTAAGAAGTTGGGGCTAGGCATTGAAAGTTGAAAGTAAAACTTGAATGTTCTGTTGGTGATTATTCGGTTAAATGTTATAAACGTCAATTTTATTTTTGCTTCTAATTTCTGTTTTTTTTGGGGGGCTAGGGGTTTTGAGAACAATAGGGGTTAGGGTTTAAGAAGTTGGGGCTAGGCATTGAAAGTTGAAAGTAAAACTTGAATGTTC